GCGGCGGGCAGCGCGGGGGGCAGCGGAGCCGGGAGGGCGCTGCCCCTCGGACAGCAGTGCAGAGGGGGCTTCGGGCCCTGAGCGACCAGACGAAGGCATCGACAGCCACACGTTTGAGAGCATCAGCGAAGACGACTCGTCCTTGTCCCACCTTAAGTCATCTATCACCAACTACTTCGGCGCGGCTGGGCGGTTGGCCTGTGGAGAAAAGTACCAGGTGTTGGCTCGGAGGGTCACACCCGAGGGCAAGGTTCAGTACCTGGTGGAGTGGGAGGGGACCACCCCTTACTGACTAGCTGTCAGGGACACCAGGAGCCCTGAAAACCAAAGGAGGGACAGAGGAAGCTGTAGGCTCCCCAGTCTTCTCCAGGCTGGAGAGGGGGAGGGAAGCAGGGCAGAGCTGCCAGTGCCCCGCACCAGGCCCTCCCACCTCCCTGCCAGGCCAGGGCCAAGGCCAAGGCCAGGGCCAGGGCCAGGGCCAGGCCGTACCCTCTGCTGTGCCAGTTCTGCCCTTGGGCCTCCTCGGGTACGGAATCCCTCCCGTCTCTAAGGTCCCGCTGGCTGTTCTCCAGTTCTATGCCTCCTACATGCCCTCAGACTCCTGTTCCTCTGCATTTGTGTCCCCTAACTGTGACCCCTTCTCCTGTGGTCCCAAGTTCTGTGTGCCCTTACCTCTCTCACCTCCCTTGGGTGTTTGTGTGTTTACACAACCCACATGTGCACCTCTGTCCCTCCACTGGATGACCTTCCCCTGGCCCTGGGGCAGCCAGCCCTCCCTGGGACTACTTTATGAGAACAGGAACCTCTCAGAGAGAATGGGTGACAGCTTATGACAGGACGCCTCTCAGGGCTGCTCCCCCACGTTCCTGCTGCTCCCCCCTGCCCACGGAAAGAGGTGGTAGGGTGAGAGAAGACCTCTGAAAGCCTGTGGCAGAGCCCCTGGGGGCTGTCGCCATCTGAGGAGGAGGGCACCAGCACCAGGGCAGTTACTAAGGCTGACAGAGAAGGCAGTCGGGGTCGGCTTTGGGGGTTCCAGTTTCCTTCCCTGGTCACACACCCTGGAGCTGGGCCTGGCCTTGCTGGAATGGAGGCACCCTTGAAAAGCTGGGTGACCAGCAGGGAAGAGAAGGCTGGACAGGAAGCCTTATCATGTTAACCCTAACTGCTTCCTGTGCCTCCCAGCCCCCATTCATCACACAGAGCAGACAACACATGTGCACACTGCCTGGCTTCCACGTGTGTGCTTTCACGTTCCAGGTGTGCATGCGCACACAGCCACAGGTTCCCTCCCAGGCCAGCCTGGCTCTCCCTCCACTCTTCCAGGGCCCTGAGCGGCAACCGAATGTGAAAGCCCAGCTCCTGCCCCTTCTTTCAGCCCCTGAACCAGCTTTGGCCCTTCATGGGACCACAGGGGACTTGAACCTTTTTCCATATCCCCACCCTGCCCTGAAATCGACAATCACTTGGCGGGATATATTGGGATGTTTAAAGGGCCAGCATCATTCAGTCCCCTCAAAGGGAAGTCTTTGTTGGGTTGGGGGGAGAACCAAACCGGGAGGCGGAGGGGACCCCTCATTTTTGCTGCTTCGAGATATTAGAAACTGACTCACTTGATTGGGAAATGGACAGAAGTGCCTTGGCTGGGGGAGGAGGGGCATCAGATGGGGTCCAGGCTTGCCAACTGCTGCCGTGGCCTTTGGCTTGGCTGGCTTTGCAGGCCGTCAGCTGGAAGGCGAGGGTGGGTGGAACAGAGGCAGTGGTGGAGCAGCAGGCCTGAGGAGCTGGGTTTTCCCTTACTAGGCCTAGCCGCCCTCTACCCCCATCCCTGACTGTTCAGGGGTCCCTGAGATTAGCTGCCCTCAGCCTTAAACCTCAGCTCTCTAGTGCCTTTCGGAGGGACTCACCTGCACGCAGCCCACCTGCTCCCTCAGGTATGAGCAGGTGCTGGGCCCGGTTCTCCGCCTTCTCAGCCGCCCAGCTGCTGCCACTGAGGCCCTCAACTGGGACCAGGTGGAAGGGGTGCTGAGCAGCCAGCCCAAGCACAACAGGGGTGAGGAGTCTGGGATCCAACCTGTGGCTCTCCGCCTACTCCAGAGAGCACAGCCACCCCTCACAGGCCTGCTCTTCAGGCTTCCAAGGAAGCTCAGGATGAGGCGGCCTGTTACAGAACCTCTGCACCTTTCCCACCCGGGCCCCAGAGGCTCCGGGCTGGTAGAGGGAGGAGGACCGGAGGTGCCTTCCCCACCTGGGAAGACAGCACAAGGCCTAACCGGGTCACCCTGACTCCCAGCCCAGCCCTTCATTCATACCAGATCGTAGCTGCATTACTGCCAACTGACCTGATGACCCTGTGCACCTTCTAAAAGACCCATGGTTTTGAATTGCTGCTTTTAATAACATTTGTTATATTAAAGTTATAATTAATGTGTCTGGTTTACAATTTGAAATCGCCCTTTGAAAAATCACCATGCTGGGCTAGTGAGTGTGGCGGTTGAGATGGCTGAATCCTACAAGGCCAACTGAGCATTTGAGTCCTGGACCCGGCCACTTGAAACATACCAGTCTCGTGGGCAAGTCCCGACAGAAGGGAGAAGGGATTGCAGTGGCCACCCCCCCACATGGGTGCTTTCTTACTTTCTGTATGTATCTGTCTCCCTCTGGTGAGCACACATGCCCTCTAGCAAAATTTTAAAAAAGAAAAATCACCTCTCTTCCTGTTGAGTTGCCAGCTGCTGGTGGCAGAAGGAATAGGCTCTGGCTTCTGCCCTGGGTTTCCCAGAGGTTAGGATGAGGGAGCCCATCCTCTGGCCTACACTGCCGACAGCCTTCCCCAGCACTATGCTCGCGGTGCTCCCCAGGCTGTCTTTCTCTACTGTGAGACTCTGACTCACGCAGGCCACAGAAGTGAAAGATGGGAGTGAACTTAGAGATGGGCCCTAGCAAAGTATGTGTAGGCATGAATCAGTCACACACCCAAATGGCCGACTTAAGAATTTACTGTGCTTCCAATTTTCATTTTTTATAACACCACTCATAAGACTTGTATAAAGTACATTATGCGTATAAAAGTATTTGCAAGAAAAGCCCACCATGAGCAGCACACAGGGTCTGGACATGCCCACGTAACAGGGCAACGACCAAAGGCAGGAATGACCAACTGCTGGCGACCGTTTCCTACAAGCTCTGGTCTCAGTTCTAACCTCAACTTGGCACGTGAGTGTCTCTTTTCATTTGAAGGTAGATGCTTTCGCACCAGTGATTGCTCTAGGCTGATAAACATTAGCATCCGCAGGGGAATTTGTACTTTTCTTCATTTCTTCAACTGATTTTTCTTTTTTTTGGGAGAGGTTTATCGCTATAGGGCGTGTGCGCTTGCCAGACAGACAGAGAGAGACATAGAGACAGAAAGCGAGAAATCACCCCCCAGGGGGGATGGTCACGCCGCAATCCCTTCTCCTCCATTCTCCTCTCGGGATCTTGGGCACGCACGCACACGCGCCTGGTGTGAGTTTTAAGCCACCGGGTCCAGGACGTGAACCGCCGTCAACTACGTGTGAGTCCAGCAACATAGCCATTACACTAACTGCTGGTTCCCTTCAACTGATTTTTCTAGGGATTCTGAATGTGTGAGCAATGCTGGGAAGGACTTCCCAGGGGAAACTGGTCAAGGTGCTAGCCCAGCTGCCACAGCAGTGCTCTGAGAGGGCCACGTAGCACAGCCGCCCTCCACGTAAGCGGGAGTTAAGCCAACCCTGAAGGTCACTGAGCTGCTCTACGTCTGTCCCCTCTCCTACAGAATGGAGATAACAGCACCCACCTCCAAATCTGTGGTGAGCAGTGAATAATGCAATGTATTTGTAAGCACCAGGCTAACTTACCACACAGAAGCTTTAAAAACTAATGGCTTTCTTTTGAATTGGCTACAGCAAGTTTCCTGAGTCTGCCTTACAAAGAGACTTATCCAGCCTTTTTGAGTAAAAGGCAGTGAGAGCATCAGGTTTAGAATCAGAAGCTTGGGTTCACATCCTAGCTCTTCTACTCTCTTGAGGTGTCTTATACGCTCGGATCTCAGGGATCACCTGCAAAATGAGTACAGCAGTGAGTCGTAAGGACAACAGTGTCAGGAGGCCCAGTGCCCATGTCACAGTCAGAAGCACAGCGGACCACAGAGCTGGCAGTCACATGTCACCAGTTTCCGCCTGGCTGGCCTGAAAACATACCAGGTGCACGTGTATGTGCTCAGGACCCTGGAGGACTAGAAGACTGAAGGAAGGGCTGACAGTGGGACCGAGCTCTGTGGCAGGTGCCCCTCTGTCTCCCTCATGCACTCACATGTTGTATCATAAATTTAAAAGAGAGAGAGAAAAAAAAAGACCACAGCATTCTTTCTAAAAGTAAATAAATAATGTTAAGAACCTAAGGACAGTACCTGGCAGAGAGTGTGTTCTATAAATGTCCCTCTCTCCTCCCATCTTCTACAATAGTCAGCTTTGCTGCTGAGGCAGGAAAAGGTCACCAAGAAAAGTTTTCTGACAACACGCAGAGTGAGCATAGAAAAACCACCCAATGACGGCCACAGATAGAAGAACCTCCTTTGGAATTACTCCCACTTAAGAAAGGCCATGGAGAACACTCTGAACCCACTTCAGTCCAGAATGATCTGGTTTTAGAACATGTCTCTTGCTCAAATAAACTCTGCTAAATTTATTTTAAAAATTTTTTTTCAAGGAAAAATAGTTGGGCTTTGTCAATTCTAAAACTTAAAAGTAACTATGTACTGTAGAGAAAGCTTTGGTTATTAAAATCCTCAAAACATCAATTTGGGGAATAGCCAAACCCTGTGAGAGAGCTCAAACAGGCTCAGGTCCAGGCTCCGTGCAGTCAGTAGTATCATTCCAGCAGAACTGGAAGCCACATGCCAACTGCAGGTTGAGTCCCCTACCCAGTCAGCCTAAAAAACACACCAGCCGTGTGCCTGTGTCCATACCCTCGGAGAGCTAGAGGGCAGAAGGGGGGACTGTGGCCTCACTGAGCCCCATGGAAAGTGCTGCTCTCTTCCTCACGTGCATGCATGTACTCTAGCATAAATTTAAAATAAGAGATTAAACAGATTCAGACATGCCCCTGACCTTGGGCAGCTCACCATCTTGAAGTAAGAGGCCAATTGTGATGAACGGAGGAAACAAGGACACCGAGACACAAGCGATTCCTTCCTGCTGGCGGAGCCACGCCTCACAGAGAAGCTGCCAAGTCCCACAGGAGTTCATGCCAGTGGGCACTGCAGGCAGAGGACGGCGTGAACACAGGTGGTGCCTCCCTTCAACAGCATAAGGGACCTATCTGCCAGCCCAGCATCAGAGAGGCAGACGGTGATGGAACAGGTGAGTCGAGACAATGTTATCAAGGGATTTGAAAGTCAGACCTAGAAATCAGACTATCCTGAAAGCAACAGTCCATTTAGAGGCCCCTCTTCATGTGAAGTAGGGTTTACATGACATAAGACGTGTGTATCAGACATTGATCTGTTGTAAAATGCAAGAAATATCACCATTATCATTTTCCTGAGGCAGTCCACCAAAATCCCCACTGGCATCCTCTGGACCTTTGGAAGGGCCTCAGCCTGAAGCCCCTGTGAGGTCTTCTTGGAAGGGTCCCGAGAGCCACCCCCATTCAGTATTTGGCAGGTGTGAGGCCTAGCGGCCGTCAGAACTGCAGCCTGGCATTGCCCCTTCACACACCCCTCCCTCCAGGAAAGCCAGGAAACCCCAGCTGTCTGTGGCCTCAATACTACCCAATGTCCCTGAACAGTTAGGGGACTCCTTGCCGTTTGCGACCAGAGCCCCATGGAGGTACAGAACACTACCCGGGACACAGCATGCACAGCCTTGGCTGTACCCTCGTAACTCGACACACCTCTTTTCTGGACCTCACTGCAGTTCATTTTCCTTTATAGTTCATAAGATGGAGACTGCTTAGAGGAGGGATTTACAAACTTCTAACAAAGAAAAAAAAATTTCTGTTAAACAAATCTTTTTCACTAACTAGAATATGGGGGGGCTCATACCCTTACCCCCATGCACGCAGCCTCCAAGGTACCATGTGTCAACCCCTGGGGGCTCTGGGGAGCAAACCTGCAAAGCACTGCTCCAGCACATTCCCAGGGCTCGTTTCTATGCTTAAGTGAAGAGGGTCGTATGGTGGGCTCAGAGGTTATGCCTCCCCTGGGCAAGGTTCCAGAACTTTCTATTGTTTGTCATGTTCAGGCTAGGACACAGTCAAAACTTAGTACCCAAGTTTAAGTCCTTGTGTCTAAGCCCTGATATTCCCAGTTGTATGCATATTCACAGGGTCCATTCCCAGCGCCCCCTCCTCAGGACTCAGGAAGAGCAAAAGACTCTTTAACTCAGAGCAATAATCCTGCGATTCCCTGAAATTCCACTATTAGCAATTCATCCTTTGGAATAAAGCACGTGCAGTCTGGGGACTCTTTAACTCGGAGCAATAATCCTGCTATTCCCTGAAATTCCACTATTAGCAAATCATCCTTTGGAATAAAGCACGTGCAGTCTGGAGGGAGGCATTCATCCCGCACACTGCAGGGAGCAAGGCTATTGGGTTCACTCCTCCCCAGGAGAGGCAGAGCAGTTGTATCCTAGGCATCAGAGGCAGGCCCAGTGACTGGAAGGTGACTAACCTCGCCTCACTGCCACCTCCCCTCAGTCCCTAAACACAGCCATTCCCATTCCCTGACCCCTTGGCCACCTTTAAGCGTGAAACACTCAGAGACAAGTTCTACTGGGTTCTTGCGTGGCCTGCTTGGCTCAGCTTTCTCTCACAGCCTTAGGAACTTTGGCTCTTCAGCCTCCACCGGTTATTTAGCACCTCTGCGCTGACAGGAACATGAGATCCAGAGAGGTCGGGAGGCAGAGACAGGCCTCCCCTTCCCAGAAAGCAGCTCGTGAGGGCTAGAGGCGGCCCAGCAGCACACACGCCGAGCTTCCCCACTCAGTCCTCCACGGCCTCCTCAAACCACTTTAAATAGTGCACATCTCCTTGGTTCATGGCGAGACTGAAGACCTCTGGGATTTCAAACGGATGTAACAACCTTTGGAAAGAAAGCAGAGCTCTGTGAATGCTACAGTTTACGTGACAAAACCCACCTGGCCAGCCTTGCTAGGGCCTTCTGCAATCTGTCACGGCCCACCTGTCCAGCCCCATGGCCCACCACTCCTCAGCCTGGTTCCCATTTGTCAGCAAGTACTGAGCTGGGCCAGAAGGCTTTAGTGTCTCAGATAAGGTTCCATTTCTAAATCTACCTTTACTAGCTTTATAACGATGGATGAGTTGCTTTATTTCTCTAAAAGCATCTCATCTTTCATAAAAAGAGAGGGTAAAAACAGCACCAACATTCTGACTGGACTCGGAGGATTTAATACGATGATAGACTTACCTGGCACACCCCTGGCAATGTGCACACTCACGGAACGTGGCTACTGTCTTCATTACTAGCCCACACGTGTCCCTGTGCCCTCCCCAAACAACCTCTCTTCCCCTAGCACCTCTCTGTTCTCTTCCCCATCTAGAAAGTTCTCTCCGCTCCTGCTCATCAGGCAAAAGCCTTTCTATCCCTCAAGGCCCAACTCAGCCACTGACCGCATTCCAGGGATCTGGCCTGACTGCCTGAGCCCATAGAAATCTCACCCTTCTCTCCCATTTATTTCCCCTTGGCTTTGCCACAATGCAAGCTTTTTACTTTCCAGACTGAAAAAAAAAGAGGACTTGGGCCTCCATTTCCCATTTGTCAGATGGGGGTAATAATCCTCTGCTTCCTGTTGAGTTGGGCGCTTTAAAGTGCTTATGAAATACTTGATAAACCGCAATGTGTAGGTAGTTGCATAAACATTCTGGGGGAACAGGTTAACTTTTTTCAGTGTCTGAGGATAACGCATTTGGTTAATTTATTTCATGCAGTCAAGACAGGGGCACCAAACTATACTCGCTGTTGTTTTCTTCAAAAGTACACGCTTGCATTTGGTAAAAAGTCAGTTTCCTATAACATCTTTGATGAGTGGTAAAAGTTATTTTGTTTTAAATTTGGACACCTGAGTACATATCTTTTGAAAGTTCTGCACGACAACATGGGAAGTATACTTAAAACACTTTCGCCATATCCCTAACTTCAATGGTTGTCGTAACCTTGGCTGATTGAGTCACAAGCTGAACTAGACACTGTTTTCTAGAGGAACACCATTTACTTTCAAGCTTATTAACCATAAATTGCCTGCTGGTTACTCAGCCTTGAGTATTAGAAAAATTTTTTTCAAATATGAACAAGGACAGCCCACTGCTTATATAAAAAGAATTTATGGGAACCAGCAGTTAGCGTAATGGCTATGTCGCTGGACTCCCACGTAGTCGACCGCGGTTCGTGTCCCGGACCCGGTGGCTTAAAACTCACGCCGGGCGCGTGTGCGTGCGTGCCCAAGATCCCGAGAGGAGAATGGAGGAGAAGGGATTGCGGCGTGACCATCCCCCGTGGGGGGTGATTTCTCGCTTTCTGTCTCTATGTCTCTGTCTGTCTGTCTGGCGAGCGCACGCGCCCTACAGTGAAAATCTCTCCAAAAAAAAAAAAAAGAATTTACGATACTATTTCCTGTGATAAAATTTATGTTTTCAAGCAAAAATTAGAATTTTGGAAAACCTGGGGCCAGCAGGTGGCATGGTGGTTAAGGGTGCTGGACCCCCACATGGCCAATTGTGATTTGAATCCTAGACCTGGAAGCTTGCTTTCCCACTTTCCCTCTCTTTCTCTCTCTCGCTCTGTCTCTCTCTGGTCAAATTAAAATAAATAATCACAAAACATAAAGTTAAATAAAATAATTCTTTAAAAAAATATATGTTATTCTTGTTTCCGAAAGACTCATAGTCTAGTAGAATAGTTATGAAAATGTACTTACTGTATCTTATGAATGTATAACGAAGTTGCGTATTAAAGGAAAAAAGGTGATGGCCGTGGGAGGGTCCAGTGCCTTAACCACCACTCTACCTGCTTGTCCCTAAAATAATTAAAAAAAAAAAAAATTAGAAAATTTAAATTTATTATCACAAGCTTAAAAGTGTTCCAATATTTAAAAATAAGTCTGAGGGGATTCAGTCATCATATTAAGCCAGATTTTTAAAAAATGTAAAATGTCATTCTTTTTGCTATTTTTTTGTTTTTGAAAAATATGATTCCTTTCCATAAAAAAATGCATTATTTAATGTGTAATGGTGTTGTAATAATTATTTTAAGTAAACTAAATTTTTTTTAAAATTTCAGAAACAGTAAACTTTAGCATTATAATCTATAGGCAACATTTATTGAGGTCTGAAGAATTCTTAAAAGTGAAAAGGCACCATGGGACCAGCAGGTGGTGTGGTGGTTAAGGCACTGGACACTCCCACATGGCCGGCCAGGGTTCAAGTCCTGAATCTGGTGGCTTGCTTTCTCACTTCCTCTCTCTCTCACTCTCAACCTCTGTCTCTCTCTGGTCAAATTAAAAAAATAAATGAATGAATAAATAAAATAAAATAAATAATAAAAAATTAAAAAAAAAAAAGTGAAAAGTCACCCTGAGACCAATATTTTGAGAACCACTGGTTTAAACTCTCTCATTCTAACCTCCCGTTTTACAGATGGAGGGTCTGAGGCTCAGAGACAGACAGGGACTTTCTCAGCGTCATACAGGAGGTGGGGGGCAGGCGCCAGTCTCCTCTCCATGCTTTCACTCAGTCCCCTGTATACCCCTGGCTGGTCCTGCGGTAAATAAGCAATGCCAGCCTTACCTGATGTAGCTGGACAGCATGAGGACCTTGGAGGTCTTTGTCTTTATTAACTGTAACAGAAAAAGTGGAAAAAGCACTGCTTTAGGGCCTGAGCCCCAGCTCTGCCCACGCTACACCATCTGACCATCGAAGAGACAGCATTCCTACCAGGATACCAGGCCCTGTCACTAGCTGACAAATAAACTTAGGGCATTTTACCTGGGACAAGAGCCTCAATCAGTTGATCTTTGCTAACTTTTCATTGGAACCTGGGAAATAAGGCCTTGGTCTCATTCATTTCCCTCTCTAGCCCCCTCCTATTCCCTTCTCACTCACCAACAGGATCTCGGTGGCTTCTTCTATTTCTCCCTTCCAAAAGTACCTGGAGAAGAGGACAAAACCAATTTATGATGTGCTAAGAGGAGACTGGTGAAATGTCAAACTTAGCTCAACTAGGTGACTTACTGAAGAGGCAACTTTAAAATCTTTCCAAACTGATGTAAAGAAGTTTAGAGTTGGCAGAGGCCTCACAGGTCAATGGTCCCATCCACCCTAATGCATCCAGCGCTTGCCTGGATGTTCCTGGAGGAGGGAGGCTCATTAGCTCTTTTTTTTATTTATTTTTTTTTTTGAGAGTTTTGCTCTAGGGCATATGTGCTTGCCAGAGACACAGACAGAGACAGAGAGACAGAAAGCAAGAATTCAATCCCCAGGGGGATGGCCATGCCACAATCCCTTCTCCTCCATTCTTCTCTCAGGATTTTAGGCACACACGCACGCTCGCTGGTCTGAGTTTCAAGCCACTAGGTCCAGTCGGCCATGTGGGAGTCCAGAGATGTAACCATAGTGCCATCTGCTGGTCCTGGCTCACTCTCTCTTGAGATCGCCATCTAACTTAAAGGTTTTCATAAGAGATGTGTTCTTTTCTGGTGTGCCCGTTTCGGCCACCTGGTTTTCCCCCCGCCCCTCACCGTCACCCGGTTTCCCCCATTAATTGACGACATGCAGAAAAACCCCAGGGCAGCCCTGCAGAAACTGCTATGCCTTTTCCTCCAGCCTGGGCATCTCCAGCACTTTTAACACTCATCCTATGCTCAGGGTTTCCAGGCCCCTCCCAGTCCTTTGGATGGATAAGTAAAAATTACAGAAGGCTTCAGGGAAGAAATGAGCCTTACAAGATGCAGGAGCTTTTAAAAGTTAAAAACAAAGTCAGTGACAACATTCAGAAGAGAGTATGAGAACAAGGAAAAGGCAATCATAGGAAATAATTCCACCTCCAAAGCTCTATCCTGACCCAGGGCAAATCTAAGATGACTTAGGTCACTGGCCCTGTCTGTCACAGAGCTGGGGTAAAAGGATCAATTACGAAGAAGGATGAACGCATGAAGGGAACGCCAGGCTGAAATTCTATGCCAGTTCTCAAACACTGGTGCCCAGACTGGCTGAAAGTGAATCACCTGCACAGTGTTTTAAAAATTCACAGACCTGGGCCCCATCCTCAGGGAGATAAATTGAGTAGATCTAGGTTGGAGCTCAAATCAAAAGCAGAGTCAAATTTGGGAGTCATTTCCATAGATGATGGGAGCCAGTGAGGAAATGACACCACTAGGGGTGGGGAAAGGGCACATTTCTTTACACGGCACTATCTTTTTTTGACTTGCAGAATATACATTATCTCTCTTTTTAGGTGTTGAGGCAGAGGAGAGAAGAAAGGAGATGAGAAGCAGGATGATCAGAGTGAGGCACAGCTATTGCTGGGACGCGGAAATATTCTGGTAAGAGAAATGGTGCAAGTGTAACAAAATCAAAGGCAGATACACAGGGACAGCCTGTCGCATACACTAAACTCTCAGAGTTTTCCAGAGACTCCAAAAGCAATGGAAATAGTTTTTTCCTGATATTCCTAGCTAGCTTACCAAGGATGGAATACCCAGTAAGCCTTCCTTACTGAGGCAAGGTAAATAATTTAACTAAAGAACATGTAACCAAGATTCACTATTCATGGGGTTAGCAGATGGTGGAGCAGATAAGGTGGCTGGATCCCACGTGGCTGACCATGGTTCAAGTCTTGGATCGGCAGCTTGAAAAACACACCGGACACATTTACATGCATGCCCAAAATCCTGAGAATGGAGAAGGGACTGTGGCATGGCCATCCCCTCTGGGAGGTGCTTTCTCAATTTCTCTTCTCTCTCTGATTCTGTGCGTCTTGGGCAAGGGCATGTGCCCTATAGCAAATAAAGCATTTTTTTAATTAAAACAAAAAGATTCACTATTCCTAATCTATTTGTTGGATGACATAAACATCTGGACACAAATCAGCAGTGACCTGTGGACTAATTAAATGCCCTTGAGTTGGTTAGTCTTTGACAATTCCCTATTAGTTCAATGTTCCTTCCACCACCCAGACACTCCTATTCCCCCTCCAGGCCATAGCAAAACTCACAGTGACGACACCTTGGGCAGGATGTTCACAGAGGCAGCCAGCTTCTTATCCAGTATGGCCCTAAAGAAAAGGGAGAGGGTGACAATCACTGGGGCAAGTCTCAGCATCTTTTTTTTTTTTTTAATTTTTTTTTTTTTGAGAGGTTTTTGCTATAGGGCGCGTGCGTTCGCCAGACAGACAGAGAGAGACATAGAGACAGAAAGCGAGAAATCACCCCCCAGAGGGGATGGTCACGCCGCAATCCCTTCTCCTCCATTCTCCTCTCGGGATCTTGGGCACGCACACACACGCGCCCAGTGTGAGTTTTAAGCCAGCGGGTCCGGGACGCGAACCGTGGTCGGCTACGTGGGAGTCCAGCAACATAGCCATTACACTAACTGCTGGTCCCAGATCTCAGCATCTTAAGAGAAGGTGAGGGATGGAGGGGTGGGGCCTGTTGGCTCAGTTGGCAGCGAACTGAACTGCAATGCTGGAAGCCACACAGCTGTCCACAGGTTTGGATCCCTGGGCACATGAGCACATTACCAAGACTGACCAGCTGGAGAGCTGGGGGAAGGGGATGGTGACACCCTGGGACCCTGTCAAAGGTGCTTCTCTTTCATGTGCATGCTCTGTATTATGAATAAAGTAAACTTTATTTTTTTAAAAAAAGAAAAGATAGGAGACAATTTCCTGAGAATTATCCAAGAAGCCCAAATATAAGCAGACAACTATTCAGGGCACCTTTCCTGTCACCCTCCCCTCTTCCACCATGCACAGACTAAAGACAGAGCTGTTTATAAAAAAATCCTTCTCGGGGCTGGCAAGTGGCATGGTGGTTAAGGGTGCTGGACTCCCACATGGTGGACCACGGTTCGAGTCCCGGACCTGGTGGCTTGCTTTCTCACTTTCTCCCTCTCTGTCCCTCTCTGGTCAAATTAAAATAAATAAATAAATAAATAAAGTTAAATTTAAAAAAAAAAAATCCTTCTCTGGGTAAGGAAGGAAGCGAAGCAGCTATGAAAAAGCAATTTTAAGAACAGGCCCTGTCTGCTTGGAAACTAGTTCATCCTGAACTGAGAGCGAGAAAACCTGAGTTCCATTCCCAGACCTGCAGTAGCACGGCTGTCTGACCTTGGGCGGGTTCCTTCATTCTAGTAATTAGTATCTGAGCACCTACTGCAAGCGAGGTATGTCCTCGTCTCTTAACCTGACTGTCTTGCTATACAAGGAGACGACTGGTTTGGTGGTTTCTAACTTTCCCCCAACCACCCAGAACTGCTTTCATTTTGCCACTTTATGCTTTTAACTGTCAGATACGTATCTGGCTGATATGATACTCAGTGATTTTTATTTCTTTTTACTTTTTATGTTTTTACCATAGAGCATGTACACTCAACAAAGAGAGACAGAGAGAAGGAAAGTGAGAGCTCACCCCGGGGGAATGGCCATGGCGCCATCTCTTCTCCTCTTGGGATTTTGGGCACGTGCACACATGTGTCCTGTGTGATTTTCTTTTTTCTTTCCTTCCTTTTTTTTTTTAAAGAATTATTTTATTTACATTTATTTATTTATTTTAATTTGACCAAAGAGGGACAGAGTGAGAGAGAGAGAGAGAGAGAGGGAAAGTGAGGAAGAAAGCTGCCAGGTCCAGGACTTGAACTGCAGTCAGCCCTGTGGAAGTCCAGTGCCTTTAACCACCAAGCCACCTGCCACCACCACCACCCCTTTGTTTAACCAATTATTTTATTTATTTAACTCTGTGTGATTTTCAAGCCACTGGGACTCAAACAATGATTGGCCACATGGCAGTCTAGCACCTTAACTACCACACCACCTGCTAGCCCAACAAAACAATTTTTAAGAGAAAGACCAAGGGACAGCTTGTGGCACGGTGGTACAGGTGGCTGGGTCCCACACAGATGCCTACATGGTTTGAGTAACAGACAGTAGGGTGCTACTTTCCCTTTGCTTTCGGGCCATACTGGATAAGAAGCTGGCTGCCTCTGTGAACATCCTGCCCAAGGTGTCGTCACTGTGAGTTTTGCTATGGCCTGGAGGGGGAATAGGAGTGTCTGGGTGGTGGAAGGAACATTGAACTAATAGGGAATGTATGCAGGTGTGTGTGCGTACATGTCCAAAATCCCAAAAGAGGGCAAGAGATGGAGGAGGAGGAATTGTACTGTGACCATTCCCTGTGAGGGGATGACTTTTTACTCTCTCTCTCTCTGGAGAGCACATGTGCTCAATGGCAAAATCTTAAGAAAAGAAAAAAATAAAGAAAGAAAAAAAGAAAGAAAGAAAAAGAGGAGGACCAGCTAAAAGAACACTTAACACCAAGACGTGAAAATAAGTATAGCAAGATTATTCCATCTATAAGATAAGAGTAGCCAACTATGAAGCAAGAACGGTCATAAATCTTAAAAAAAACTGTAATTTCTTAAATAAAAACCCAAAAGAGGAGTTGAATAGCAAAATAGACACAGGTGAAAAATCTAAGAGGCAGATGACTAGGCTCAAAGACACTTCCAGGCTGCAGAGTCAAGAAACAGAGGCAGAAAAGCACGTAAGTTCAGTCACGGAGGACACACTCAGAAGGTTCAGTTTTCTATCTCATAGGAGAAAGGACCTGGAAAGATTAGACAGAGAAGCCACACCACAGTGACACGCAGCTGTGCCCCCAGGCTGGGACCGCGCAGAAGGCCTAGGTTTGATTCCTGGTACAGCCTAAAGGCTGGAGGATGTGGCGGTGAGAACCTGTAACCCTAGCCAACTCAGGAGACTGAGGCAGGAAGCTCATGAGCTCAAGGCTGGCTTGGGCAATCTAGCAAGAGCCCACCTGAAAGATTCCGGTATGGGGGCACGGGCCTGTATCTCAGCAGGGAGGCCGAGGCAGGATTATGACACAGTGAGACCCTGATGGAAAAAGAGAAAAAGAAGTAGAATATTTAACAAACTAACAGCTGAACGTGAAGATACAGAGGCAAGCCTATAAACTGTCAGAGAGAAAAGGCATTACCTACAAAGGCATGAGATTCCTGTTAACACTAGACTTCCCACCAGCAACCATGGGTGCAAGAACCCTGGGCAGCTGATGCCGACCCACTGATCTGAGCTGGCCTTTCAGCCAGTTAAAACCCAGTCCCTGCGTTCCTTTTCCTCCCAACGCCCAACCTCACAGATGTCAGATGAGGCTGTTCGCTGACAGGACCCAAAGGGGCTGATCCAGAGGTCCAGGGAAAGGACAGCTCGCCTTACCGTGAGAAGGGATGTCAGTTTCTAGCTGCCCAATGTTCTAATCATATTTCTGAGGTAACCACAGTTCAGACAAGACCTATTCTCTGAAGGTAATATTAATAAGGAAAAAACTCAGCTAGGAGAAGGAAAGATGGAATCAAAGACAAGATTAACCTGTCACCACAAACTTGGAAGTTGTCTGCCCCCACAGTCCACACTCAACATTTTAAAACATCGACTTAGCCTGCCATCAACCTCAAGAATGCTCAATTGCCAAGTAGGAAAAAGAAGCAAGGAGCCAGGTCCACTGCCCTCCAGCCCTATCGACCCCCTTCAAAGTCCTATCTGTAAAGGAGAGAAGGAGCAACATCAGATATAGCAAATGTTTTTTGAGCATCTACGACACTCCAATTACTGGGGTAAGCACTGCAGAAACTTCATACCATCATAATCACGATAACCCCGAGAGGTAGGTGGTATCATCTCATTTCATAATTCACAACATTAACACTAGTGGAGGGAAGCAACTTGCTCAAGGTCACAGTAAGTGGCAATGCCAAGATTCAAACCCAGGCCTAATTCTAAGTCTGTTGCTCTTTAGCATAGCTGCTTCTAGAAACTGCCCAGTACTGGGACCAGCAGTTGGCATAATGGCTATGTCGCTGGACTCCCATGTAGTCGACCACAGTTCAAGTCCCGAACTCAGTAGCTTAAACTCATGCTGGGCAGTTGTGCATGTGTGCCCAAGATCCCAAGAGAAGAATGGAGGAGAAGGGATTGAGGCATGGCCATCCTCCCTGGGAAGTGATTTCTTGCTTTCTGTCTGTCTTAAATTAGGAGACTTAAATTCTCAACCTTTGGGGTCCCACTGTTTTTTACCTTAACTCCTTAGACACACCACCTACCTCTACAGGTCTTCTATCACTTAAATGCACCTATACGCCAGGTAAAATATTCAGAAGCAGCAGCAGGATCCATTGGGGGGGTCATACTGCAGAGCCCCTACCACCTCGAGCAGATAGCTATGTCATGCATCACTGGACACACACAGCTGTCAGAAGCAAAAGGTAAGAGTGGCCCCTCAGGAACGCCCAGGAGGCTAGGGCAACACCTATGTCCCTTCACCATACCTGGCAATGTCTCTGGCAGTTTGCTCATTGGGACAGTTGACAAAGACGATGGAGTGAGTGCCAGAAACATAGCTGCCGGTGACAGCTGAGTGCAGCTGCAGAACGAGGGTCCTGAGCGTGGGGAGAGTCAGGAAAGATGTGGTCAGGATCTATATGGTGGAAAAAGAAAGTACAGGTCAGCAGTGACAGTGCCAATTCAACACCTCCCAGCTCAAGACGACTGGAACCAGGGCTGGGTCCTTTATTCGTTCCCATCCCTATCCACACAATAATTCCTGAGATCTGCACTGACCTTTAGTGCTTATACAAAGTTTTTATGCCTAGATATTTTCCTTTGCATTTTGCAGAGGAGAAAAAAAAGAAAAAGACTCAGAAATCAAGAAACTTGCTAAAAATCACATAGCTTTAATCAAGAAAGCCAGAATTAGGACTAGAGTCTGGAAGGTCTGAAATAGATTTTTATTGTAAAACTGTTATTGGAGTTACCTAATAGCAGCTGACATGTGCCGAACCATCATCCTGTGGCAGTTATTACACATAAAAAGCTCTCAGATCTGATGTTTCAGGAGTAACTCCAGCCCTTTCACTTGCGTACCTACCAGGTGCTATGTGTCATCTGGGGGAAAGGCAGCCTTGCAAACAGACGGGTTCTGAAGCAATGCGACCTCTGCTATTGTAACCAAGCGCTGGGGGACCAAGAAGGAGGCTGAGGGAGCAAAGGCTTCAAAGAGGAGATGCTATCTGAGTTGGAGCTGAAGTAATAGGGATTACGAGGGCAGAGGAGGGCACTCCAAGCAAATCAGTGAGAATACGTGCAAACTCAAGAGGTATTTAGAGACAGAGGAACTATCCAGCCTACAAGGCCTTTACTGTGTGGGTATGAGAAGAGCGGGAGGATGATAGGGCTGGCCAGGACTATGAAGAAAAGGGTCAGATCAAAGAGGGAGAGATTTGTGAGGTGACAGGATGTTTTTAGGGAGTTTTTGTTTTTATTTACTTCTTCTGTGAGTGAGAGAGAGAGAGCATCCCCAATGGGGTCTTGAGATTATGATGCATCCCTAGCTCCAGCCACCCCAAATCATGGGCACACATAGGCCATGTGTCCTCAGGTCACATATGAACCCAGAACCCTTGCAGGGTTCAATGTACCTTACCACTGCTGTGCAACAGTCCAACCCCTAGAGGTTCTTTTTAAAAAATTATTTAATTTTATTTGCTGTTATTAATTTTTAGTTTGCACGAGGGCACATGTACTCACCAGGGAGAGAGGAGAGAAAGACAAAGTAAGCCACCAGGTCTGGGACTCGAACCATGATTGACCATGTGGGAGTCAAGCACCTTAACCACTGTGCCACCCACTTGCCCCTCAGAGGTTTTCTTTTTTTAAATAATTTTTTATTGAATTTTATTTATTTTTAGTTTGAACAGAGAGAGAAAGAAAAGGGAAGTAAGAAAGCAAGCCGCCAGGTCTGGAACTTGAACTGCAGCCCGCCGTGTGGGAGTCCAGCACCTTAACTACCATGCCACCTGCCAGCCTGCCCCCAGAGGTTCTTAAGTAGATTCATATAATATGCTCAAGCTGAGTAAAGTAACAGTGTGGGGGATGGGGAGTGACCACAGGCAGCCTACTTAGAAAGCTGTCACCATGATCCAGAAAAAACATGAAGATCCCAAGCTGAGGGACCAGCAGATGGCGTAATGGTTACATAGCTGGACTCCCATGTAACTGACCGCAGTTCAAGTCCCAGATGGCAGCTTAAAAACTCACGCTGGTGTGTGTGTACATGCCCAAAATTCAGAGAGGAATATGGAGAAGGGATTGCAGCTGGCCACCCTCCTGGGAGGTAATCCCTAGCTTTCTATCTTTCTGTCTCTGTCTCTCTGGCAAGCGCATGCACCCCATAGGAAAAACCACTCTAAAAAATCAAATAAAAGATCCCAAGCTGAAAAGACAGCAGTGACAATGTAGGAGGAAAAGGATCATCAAGATAACATTTTCCTGGGACCAGTGGATGGCATAATGATTACATCACTGGACTCCGACATAGTCAACCGAGGTTAGAGTCCTGGACCCGGCAGCTCAAACCTCACACCAGGCACGTGTGCGTGCAGGCCCAAAATCCTTAGAGGAGAATGGAGATGGGATTGCTGCATGGCCATCCCCCCTGGGTGGTGATTTCTCATATTCCGTCTCTCTGTTTCTGTCCCTCCAGCAAGCACACATACCCTATAGCAAAAATCTCTCAAAAAATACATATGATTTCTCTTACTATTTTAATGACATTTAAAATAAGAGCAACGAGAAAAAACAAATAAACAAACAAACAAAAAAATAGAAAACACCTTCCATTCTGGGGTTCTCTGTTTGGGGGTAGAACAGAGCCATTGACAGGACAGAGGACGTGAAGGAGTTACACGGTGACCCGGCCGGGTGAACAAGCGCCTGCTTCTCCTGCCTCCCAGCCCGGGACTCATGCTTTGCTCAAAGGAGCCTCTGTCCTCCCACTCGCTTCACAGTATCGCCTGGGTCCTGGCTCTGACTTCTTGGCAGGGCCTGAGTGCTGTGTTTATGTCTTCAGCTCCATTTCAAACGCAGGCCTGTCCAGTTGGTTTCTCATTCTCTCCCACTAACCCACTAGCGCCCCTAATTTGATACACTATACTAGTCTTCCGAACTAAACCAGTGACCATCGTGTGTAGGGGGTAGGGTGCTTTCTAAAGGAGGTTTTACTGTTATTTTTAAAATGTCAACTTAATTAGATTACAGAGAAAAACAGAAAAGCACTTGAGGGCAGGTTAGAAGGCTGGGCTTCTGACCCCCTCCTGCAGCTCTTCCCACCTCCCCACCACCGCTGCAGTCACTTCCAACTTGAGTATTTTAACAGGTCCAAGTGGAGAACACCACCCGCCACACACCTTGAAAAATGACAGGGAAATGAGATGGTCACTGCATCAGCAAGACCAGATGATCATGTGGGGCTCTCAGGAGCCTCGCCAGGAACCTTTCCCCTCCAGGTTTCCACAAGGCTGGAAGGGAAGCCTTGCGGGCAGCGTGAGCACCACCCCCCAACTCCAGGACACCGGGTGGAGCTCCAACCCCAAAGCCCAGGGGCAGTGAAGAGAAATTCGCCTTGCCTTCTCTTCCTCTCCTCTCCCCTCTGGCCCGCATCGGGGCTCAAAGGGCAGAAGGTGGCAGCACAGCAGCATGGGGCACTCACCAGGAGGCACACAAGGGCAGAGGGCCGCACGCAGCTAGGCAGGGGGCACCGGGACCCCAACCTGTCCATGGCGTCGCCGATAATCCAGCCACACCAGATCA